CGACCTTGCGCTTGCCAGGCAGGCGCTTTTGCCGCTGAGCTAAATCCCCAGCCCCTGAAACAGCCTGTTATGGTTTGTGTCTAGATGTCCCTCCAAATTTGGCCTCATGCAGTCATGGGGGTGCTGAATCTAGAGTTTGTGATTGATTCATTGTCTAATGCTGGCATTATGGATGTGAGTGCTACACCTACCCTAGGGTGGGTTGCCTGCATACAGTATAAGGGACAGAAAGAATCTTCTCTCATGCTTCTCCCCTTTTTGCTCTTGCTGGTTTTGCTGTCTTCTGCCGCCTTGAACTGTTGCCCTCTGCCATGTGCCACCCTGCCTTGGAGCCAGCTAATTTTATGGACTGAAACCTCCACAAACTGTGAGCTAAATAAACGTTTCCTTCCTTAATTCTGGGTGTCAGCTATTTTGTCCCAGCAATGAAAGAAAAGTATCAAGACTCAGCCACAGTCACTAGATTCAAGGAGAGAACCAGTGTAACAGAGGTTCAGGCGTGGAACTAGAAGAGCCCATAAGAAGGGACACGGCACACTTTGAAAGAGTCAGATAGGGCCGGGCGTGGTGGCGCACACCTGTAATTCCAGCACTTGGGAGGCTGAGAGGCAGGAGAATCGTTGCGAGTTTGAGACCAGCCTGGGCTACAAAGTGAGCTCAAGGCCGGCCTGAACTGCATAGTGAGACTCTGTCTCAAAAAGACAAAAAAAAAAAAAAAAGAATCGCAGCCCTGAAAACTACAAAATTCCGGAGCTTGATCTTACACAAAGGTTTAAAAGCAGACCAAAAATTGCCAAAGAAAACTAATAAAATAGGTCAGATGAAAATATCCAGAGTAAAGCCATGTGCTGCAAAACAAAATGGAGAAGATGGGAGGGGATAGAGGACCTAACAGACTTTCACTCAAAGCACCAGGATGCAGGAGGGAAAGACAGCCATATCTCAAGAGAGCCACCAAGATTTCTAAACCAAGGAAAGCCACCAACACCCAAATTCAAGCCCAACTAATTCCAAGCAGGCAAAAGGAAGAGAAATCCACACCGTTAACCAAGCCCAGATAATGGCAAACACCCACACAGAGGTCAGTCGCACAGAGCTAATGGGGAAACCTAGTGGGCGACTGGGAGCAGGCATTGTGGCTCCCACGCTCTCAGCACCCTAAGGGACTTGTAGCAGTGCTAGTCCTGGTGGCCATACCATAGTGTACCAGAAGAGGGAACTTTCGCTCTGCAGGCTTACAGGGGAATTGGAAGCAAATGACAAGCGCCTGGCTAGCCATGTAGCAAGGCAGATGTCAGGCTATGGGTGAGGCTTTGTTGGTAGAAAGAACTCAGATGTCTCTCCCTGGAGATCTCCATCCAGGACTTGCGGAATGATGTCACCGAGCCTTTTGAGTCTTTCCTGCTGAGCCGGCCTATTGCTGGACACTGCAGGGCTCTCCAGGGCTATTGTGATAACCAGCAGGTTTGTCTCTCCCTATGCACGCAGACATAGCACCTGAAACTACAGAAAACTCAAGCAAGGAGAGTGTTGGAGGCAGCCAGAGCAGAGCAAGATATGTTACCTTCAAAGGAGCAGCTGTTAAGTCGACAGCAGGCTTCCAAACAGCTAGAACGAAAGGCAAAGGGTGGTGGTGTCCAGATCTGCAGTCTGTAGATGAAGGAAGTCCAGAGGTGGGTGGGCTAGGCGGGACTGCTCTACGCAGTCATCTGCTCTTTCCAGCTCCATTGTCCCAGAATGTAACTTTCACCCTCATAACCCCAAGTGGCTACTCAAGTACCAACCAAAACATCCCCATTCATAGTAGCAGGAAGGAGGTTGGTGTACTCCTTCCTTTGAAGTAGACATTCTAAAGGTAATGCTTACCACTTCCACTTACATCTCATTGGTCAGAATGTATGTAATCACATTACTACAGTGTGCTTCAAGGACAAAAAGCATAGTATCTTAGCTAAATGGCAGACTGCCCAGATAAAACCTGGAGTCTTCTAAAGGTTAGGCTGGCTAATGGGATGCAACTGAATTATTTACTATTCTGGGCTGAGTTGTGTCCTCTTAAAATTCGTATGCTAAAGTCTTAAGTCCCAAAACCTCAGAATGTAACTATACTTGGAGATAGGGTCTTTGAAGAGGTAGAAAAGGTAAACTGAGTTTACTATGGGCCCACCATAACTGGTGTTCTTGTATGAAGTGGAGATCAGAAAACAGATACCTCACACGTGAGGAGATGGGGCCTCAGGAGAACCAAACCTATCCACCTGGGTCTGGGGAATGCAACCTCCAGGCTGTTGGACCTTTTTTTTTTTTTTTTTGGTCTTTTTCCACTGCTTTCGAAGACTGGCCACTTAACAC